ACCCCCACCTTCCCTCTGATATTCGTCAGTCTGATCTATGCTTCTATGTTATTGAATCTATTTTGTTCATCAGTTTATTAAGTTCTTTAGATTCCATATATAAGTGAAATCATGTGATGTTTGTCTTTCTCTGCCTGGCTTATCTCACTTAGCATAATTTTCTCTAAGTCCATCCATACTGTCCCAAAGGGTACGAGATGATTCTTCTTTACAGCTGCATAGTATTCCATGGTGTAAATGTCCCACAGCTTTTTCATCCACTCATCTACTGATGGGCACTTGGGCTGTTTCCAGATCTTAGCTATTGTAAATTGGGCTGCTGTGAACATCAGGCTGCGTAAGTTCTTTCTGATTAATGTTTCAGGATTTTTAGGATATATTCCTAGAAATGGGATCACTAGACTTAGTATGAAACAGAGGACTGAATTTATCAGTATAGTTAGATTAAAAAGTAAGCTACGTGAATTAAGTGTCCAAGTGATGGAAATTAGAGCTTTTTCCAAGGTTTTCTTTTAATTAAACCTTCTAAAAGTAGGTAAAATATGACCAAAAATATTCAGATTAGGAGCTATACCATCTTCTCAGCATTGAGAGGACATATTCTTCAGTTTCCTTCAATAGAGAAAGGCTCAAGTTTGCATGATTCCTGGTAATTAAACATTTGTGTCATGTTTTACAATTTAGAAAGGACCCTCATAATCTTATTTCACTGGATTCAAGAGAATCTTTATGACACAAATATTGAGATTATGTGAGTTGCCAAAAATCCCAAAGTCACTGAGTGGCAGAGCCAAAAGCTGAACACCAAACTTCTGAACCCACTTCCTTGTTCATAAAGACCTCAAATCACAATTTATGACAGAGGGGGCAGGTTCCATGGTGAAACTGGGGTATAAAATAGTGTAATAGTTCTGAAGAGCAACTTGGCAATACGCATCAAATATATATATTTTTAAATTCTCAATGACTCAGCAATTTGATTTATAGAAGTCTGCCCTGTGGAAATAATCAGAAATGCGCCCAAAAAACTATATCCTTGTCTATTAATCATAGTGTTACTTTTACTAGCAAGAAGTAAATGACTGGATGATGCACAGTTGTTAAAAATTGTGCTTCTGAATTATTTGTATTGAAGGTTGTAAGAAAATTTTTTCAAGTTATAAAAAATAATGTGCTGCATCTTCTTAGTGTAAGTGCACACAAACTCATAGACTAAAGTATTTTAAAAGACAGAAATAACACTGAGCTCGCTGGCTATGGAGAGATTTCAGTAGCTTTAATTTTCCAGTTATATGTTTCTATATTGCTATCGCTTCATTTCACTTGTAGAGCTTTTATAAAATTAGGAAAAAATAGGTATTTTAGTAAGGATTGCAAATAGATGAATTATACAATTGCACACATATTTGTGGAGGTGTGCTAATAAGCAAGTTACATATATTGTATGCCTTAAACATATTAATAGTGTTCAAAATATAACTTTAAAAATATATCAAATCACTTTAAAGGAATATACTAATGAAAATAACATCATGATAGAATTTTTATAGGGCAAATAGATACTCTGTAAAATTATAACATTTTGGATGTTAATTGTAAAAATATTAGGTTCTTTTTTAGTGAGCCAAATTATCTCTTTAACTTATGGGGGGTTACTTTCAAAATACATTATTAAATTAAATGAAGAAGTAAATAAAAGAAACCTCTACCTATGCAAAAGCCACACTGACTGAGTGAACTGTATGAAGTCAAATTTTATTTAGAAATGTCATTTAGAACTCAAATATACACTATAAGAAATGGTTTGGTAAAATAGTGAAGACAGAAAAAAAAATGTGTGTGTGTGTGTGTGTGTGTTCACTCATTCTGGGAATACATTTTGAAAGGCTTCTTGCCAAAAATATTGTTCCTGTGGACTAGAAAATGACTGAGATAAGATGCTCCTCAGGTGGCCCACAATTTTATATAAAAACAGTAGATGTGTTCAGCTGGTTAGATGTGTTCGCGTACTCTAGAAAATGCTAACTCCAAATGTAACTCTGGGTTTCATGAGTGAAAGTATAGCAGACCAAGAGAGAAAACACAGATATTGAATGATATAACTCAATTTTTCCAGATTTTTCTCCCCAAATCACAACTATATATTTTGAGGATATACCTTGTCTCAAAAAAAATTTGCTTAAAGAGGGCTTGGAAAAATATATTAATAAAGATAACTACTTAATGAGGTACAGGTAAAAGTAAATAACCAAGCAAAGTTAATTCTTATTTATAAATCAATATAACCTCCTCTTCTTTTAAATTACTTCTAATTTATACAATATCTAATATAATTGGTATTATATATAAAATAAAGGCACAAATATATAAGTATATACAATATACAATATAATTGACTATATATAAATATATAATATATAAAACACTGGGTCCAGCCTGGCCAGTGTGGCTCAGTGGTTGAGCATTGGCCCATGCACCAAGAGGCCATTGATTTTATTCCCAGTCAGGGCACATGGTAGGGGGCGTGCAGGAGGCAGCCAATCAATGACTCTCTCATCATTGATGTTTCTATCTCTCTCTCCCTCTCCCTTCCTCTCTCTGAAATCAATAAAAATCATATTAAAAAACAAACAAAACAAAAAAACAATGGGCACAGCTATACCAATGTACAATATGAATATCAGTATTCTGTCTGAATGTATAAAATGTGACTGAAATATATCTATATCTACATAAATATATTTATAGAGAGAAAGAAATGTACACACATATTCAGAACATATTGCAATTTATTCTTAAGTAATATTTAGAAGTAATATTTGTGTGGAACAAAAGCAGTGTTAGAAAAAGTAATCGAAAGTTCATAATTAAGAAAATTATGATATTCTAGAGGAGAATCTGATGATTCCACCAATGACTAGAATCCAGAAGAAATAAATGTATTTTAATATTCATAAAAAACAGCATAAACATTATTTTTAAATGCACAGATATAATCAAAACTTTAAAATAGCTTAAACTATTTTTAAAAAGCTCTTAAATCTCATTTTAATTCAACTAAAATTACTACTACTACTGCTTGTAAAAACAAAAGGCCTGTAAGCATACATGCTTCCATAGCTTTGAATGTTTTCCTGCTGGAACAGGCCTGAAGATAAGGTTATGTAAGAAGCAGCTCTGCATTTGGGGAGGCTGACAAATGGCTACTCAAATGTGTACATCCTGCTCCCTACAACCTGTGAAGGATACTTTAGATGGCAAAAAGGGGGTCTTTGCAGATGTGATAAAAGTAAGGATCTTAAAATGGGGAAATTACCCAGATTATCCAGGAGGGCAATCACATATATCCTTACAAGTGGGAGGCAGAGGGATATTTACACAGAGAGAGGAAAAAGCAATGTGACCAACGATGCAGCCACCAGAAGCCGAAGCAGTCAGGAATGATCCTCCCCTAGAGCCTACGGAGAAGGCATGGCCCTGCCACCACCTTGATTTTGAACCAGTTATACTGATTTTTAACTTCTGGTCTCCAAAACTGTGAGAGAACAAACTCCTGTTGTTTAAAGCCACTAAATTTTTGCAGCATCCATTGCAAACTAACACAGCCATAAAGGAAAATACTGAAGGCAATCAATTTCTGAGAATAAAATGGAATGTTCTTAAATTTAGTCTGTCAGTGCCAGAGAGAGTTAAAAGATAAAGTCATCTTAATGAGGAGCCTAAATAATACATTTTATCTCTTATTAACTTCCTACTCCCAAGAAGTAGACAAGCATATACCAATGCATTTCAGTGACCTTCACTAAACAAGATAAATCTCCTTGACAATTCCCAGAAAAAGCAAACTCCTTCAGAATAAATGTTACTGAACTTCAGAACTGATAGGAGAGCCTTCAAAAAAGTGAGTTTGTAATACGAAGTTTTTATTGCTACCCTACTCTTATGAAATTATTTTCAGAGATCGAACAAAAAGAATCTCTCTTTACAGGATGCAAATAAAAGCTATAAATCCCATAAGGAAAAAGCTAAGGAATTATTTTTTTTCTACCCAATACCTGACATATTTGCTTTATTATACAGAGATGAGACTATTTAAATAGACAATCAGCTGCCAAAAA